CGAGCATATGGTGCGACCGCCGCGCAAAACACGAGTTCATCAAAATAAACGCATACACCATTCCCGCGTTATCATCAACGACACTACGCTATCTCGCATCAAAATCATAATCGAACGACAACAAAGAACCTTAACGATTCAACCAGAGAACAGAAAGCCTTCAAATTTTTCCTTTTTCAGCAAACCAGCAACTGCCAATCGGCAACAGCGTCTCTATTTCGTAATGTTGTTGTTTGTTCATCGCACACATAAAAGGAAAAATTTTCCCGACAATAGTAACACGTTTAAGTATCGCGGAAGGCACATAAGAACAGACGACGAACAGGCGGGTTAATTCAACGGGCCTTATTGACTGAATCCACCGAGATTGCAATTGCAGATTCATTTTTTAGCGCAAGAGCGCACATCAAAACACAGTCACACAGTCAAAATTTGCAATACATCCTCATAAGTGAGTTCACAGCGCGCACTGTTTTGCCTTGCCGTCATCAGCACCACAAAGTCGTAACGCCTTAACCGCAACAGGCCCGGTTCTTTGTCTCCTTTCCAGCAGATCAGATACATCAGATCTCCTTCACTTCAGCTAAAACTGCAGGATTTGCCTCGCCTGGATCGATTTGTCAAGAGTCTGCGCCAGCGCCAGCCGCAGAGCCGGGTGAGGCCTGAGGTCCGGCCAGCGCCATTTTTACTTTACCATTTTTACCCATCACGCATTGCGGTCGTGACGCACACCGCCCGGAATGAACCGAACGCTGAGACTTTGACCTGATCGCAGGCGTGTGCGCCACGCACCGCAATACGTGATGGGTAAAAATGGTAAAAATGTGGCGGCGCCATTTCCCGCTTGACACCAGCGAGTGAACATCTCAGCGAGCTCTTGGCACATACAGAGACAATAGAATGGGAATTAAAACCTGTTTCCTTTTCTGAAAGACGCCACTGAAAACAGCTATTTAGACAGTTTTAAAGGTCTCGTATGGCCGAGATGCGCCTTTGTTGGTTACATAAGGCCACATTGTATCAGTTATTCGCACGGAGACGATCAAGGTGAGAACTTTAATATGAAAGTTTTACTATGTCTTAATTTGTATTGCATTTTAACTAATGTTTTTACTTAGAGTGAAGGAGATCTGCAATTTTATCTGGATCTACTGAAAGGAATAAAATTCAACCGTTGGTCGAAGTTCGACGGATTGCCGCCACAAGGACAAGAGAGCGTGATAACAGAGCAATGTGAGAGAATTTTTTTGCATTGACAGTTGAAGCTCAGTTCAAATATTTAAGCCTTTTGTCTAATTTTCTTTTAGTAGAAATGATTTTTTTCAGCAGACATTGATCTCCCATAAATCTTCTTCCTTAGGCAAAGAAAACAACAACAGCAAAAAGCTGACCAACTTCGGGCGCAGTGGAAAGGTGACTGAGGCAAGAAACGCTTTGCAGGCAGCTGCAGAAATTAACCACCATCTCGCTGTGGGTTTATTCAAGTAAGTCTAAGTCTCAATTTTGGCATAAAGTTTATCATTTCAGTAAGTTTAAATACATTTTTTCTAGACTTTAATAATTAAATATTGTATTGTTTTTAATTAAAAAATTGAATGACCTCGTTAAGATAATTTTTTATTCTTTTCATTTATAGACTTGCCGACAAAAGTCTATTGATTATGTGGTAGTTCGCACGATATTGATGCAGAGATAGCATTACTTTATGAGCATGGCTATGTAGATATTGCAATCTCAGAGGATTCCGACCTTCTTGCTTATGGATGCCAAAAGGTACATTGAATAACCCATACAATTTATCATCCAAATGCTTATTCAAAGCCTGGCTGTGTTTACTTGATTTTCAACAGAATGAACTATGTTTATAGTTTTAGTCCTTTTATATCGTAACTATTAATTTCATAAACTAGAACCCAATTGCAAAATAGCAGCAGATCTCTGAACACTTTAAAGGTTTTACTGAAAAAAATTTAGAGGCTTTTGTAATTTTTAATCATTTTTTATTCTTTTTATTGTCATTAGGTTCTTTTTTTTTCGATTATACAATTTTATTAATTTGTACAAGTATCAATTTGAAATTAGTAGCACTTAGAATTAGTTATAAATTGTATACATTTTTATTTTTATGAACTCAATGTTTTGCGCAGGCGATCATACAGGTATACTCATGAAGCCTGTGCAATATAAATGCATATACTATTATTACTATTACCTTTGGTTTTCTCGTTGAACACAAAAGACCATGAATAAAAATAAGGAAGGGTTTTCCTGAACACCCCTAATTTCCTATCTATCTATAGGTTTTGTTCAAGTTGCGAATCGATGGTGTGTGAAGTAATCGAGTTAGAAAGGTGTTGCAACATTTGTCACTGACACAGGAAGAATTCCTGGACATGTGCATTGTTGCAGGTTGTGACTACTTAGAAAAATGTGGCATTGGTATCCATACTACCCACAAGCTCGTGATAAAAGAAAAACAGATTTCTTAGCTGTTTTACAGAGAAATCGATTTGCCCGTCAGACTACAGTAGTGGATTTCAAAGGGCCAAGGCAATATTTCGTCACCAGACAGTGATTAATCCTATAAATGCAGAAACCATGCCACTTACGCCTTGGGGACAAACACCAGATAAGGAAGCTTTTCTGAACCCTTGTGGAATGTATCCAATTTAAGTAATTATAATTACTCACTATAAGTGCTCTTGCTCACTGTTTTTTATCTGCTATGATTGTCTGGGCGAGAGAATTTTTTATTCTAAAAGAATTTTTATTCTAAAAAAAATATTTTCATAAACGAAATTAAGTATTTAAAAAGTAGCCTGAGAATTTTTGCTGTATGGCATTCACATGGAATAATTTACAATAATTGGATTTGAATTGATGGTGTGCTGAAAACTGTGTAAAATCAGATAGTCAGTTGTTGTACAGTTTCATTAGAGTGATTTTCATGAGACCGTGAAACAGTATCTAGCAATTAATCAAAAATTAGCCAAAATTAGCTAAAACAATGAAAACAATGAAAGAAAGAAAACATGGAATTAATGTCTAATAGTGTGTACTAGTGCCTACTAACTTAGTAACTGTTTCACGGTCTTTTTGAAAATCATTTTATGCATTTTAAAAACTAGCTTTTCAAAGATAGAAAATAATCCATTTATTGTGTTTTGTTGATTACTTAATATCATATTAGCCTTCTCTCAAATGAGTATGCAGTTAACCTTGCTGTGGGTAATGTTGATCCCAGGGAGAGCACAACTATCAGGAATACTTTGCACTTCCCATCAAGGTAAATTATATGCTAACAACTAATTTATTCTTTCTATTTTATTAACTGATAAAGCGGAGTATGCATCACATCTTTAAACTATTTTTTATTCAGAAAAACTTTTAACTTAAACATTACAGATAAAATACTGAGAAGTCTCAAGTGACCTTCTAAACTCTTGACCATGTGTTGTTTTTAGAAGTGGCTTATTTACAATCATTTAGTTTCTATTGTGGAATAAAAAATGTGCTATAACATTGGCCTTTTTCAGTTCATCCCACATGAATGTGACAAATAACTAATTCTCAAGAAAATGCTTCCTTCTTCATTCCTTTAATCCAAAAAGAACTGAAGAAAGACAAAAAATAACTAAGGACACCATTATTAATTGAAATATACTAAACAAGCTTGCTCATCACAGCTATTCACATGCAGTGCACTTAGTTACATAATTTATACTAATACTTATACAGCATGAAATAGAGTACTAGGTGTGACGTCATAAAAATGAATTTCTGAAATTATGGGATTTGTCAGGGTATTTGAAAGAACAATGTCCAAAGGCCTACTTGCCAAAATGAGCATTTGGGGCAAATTGTCTCTGAGATCGTAGCCAGTTATGCTTACAAAAAATTCCATACAAACCCTTCTAAATATTTTTGGCCCACCCAAGAAAAATTAGAGGGGGTTTGTAGGGAGTTTTCTGATATAACTGGGCTACGATCTCAGAGACAATTTGCCCCAAAATGCTCATTTTTGGCAAGTAGGTCTCTTGGACATTGTTCTTCAGAATATCCTGACAAATCCCATAATTTCAGAAATTTCATTTTTATGACGTCATCACTTTAGTACTCTATAAGGAATGCTTTTTATTACAACCATTTTTCTGTAGAAGGGTTTGTGGCAGCCTAGAGACCTGGCATTAACAGTTTCAAGTCTTGGACAAGATAACATTGAGTGGACTATTCCGTCATTCCCTGTTCTGACGATAGAATTTGTAAAAGGAACTGTTTCTATAACTGGTAGAAGGACAGGGTGGCCTGCGCTATTCCAAGCTGATGACAGTGGACGGACAAAATGTGGAGATGAAATCATTGCTCAAAATGGTGTAACATTGTGGTTGAAAACATCACATATTTGGTCATTTGGGAATTTAGACGGTCTGAACCAGTAGAGCCGGAGGATCATTCAATTGTTAATGCTGATGATTCTGATGATTCAAATGAGGAGAACGATTCTTCAGAAATTGAGCATACTGTTCCTTTCAAAGTACTTGGTACTGCATATAAAGGACGACAAATTATCCTTAAAAATGCATACGAGTGTTTGGAAAATAACAAAGATGTACAAGCGCAGCTCCAACCAGAGCCTGAAAATGATTATGACCAAAATGCAATAGCCGATTAATAAACTGTGGTAGTGGTTGGAACAAAGTTGGTTACATTGCCAAAGAGTTAACAAGTGACATACACCCTATCATTGAAAGAAACAACATCAAAGTAACTGTTGCACGATTCGCTTTAGAGTAAACTACTTGTTAGTTGGCTTTTTATGTAACCTTAAATATCACTAAAAAGGGACCTGGAGCTCCAAAGTTGTCAGGGCCTCAAGAAAAGTCCAGTAAAACTTTACACGTGTAAATGTAAATAAGTTAGAAAAGTGCATTATCTTTGTCCCAATTTTAGTTTACTAAGGCTAACATCAATATGCAAAACTATAAGTTAATAAACTTATGCTACACTGTTGGTGGTGGAGGTAATTGTTCTGGTGCTCTGTGAAATGAAGCCCTGACTGTCAGAGAATTTCTTTGTGGCAAGGATGCCCTATTTGCCACAAAAACCCCTGGATCAGAACGTCTTGACAACCTAACCCTGTCCAATCTTTCTGTTTGACCTGATGCATCATTGAAGGAAGGCAGTGGGGCAGTTGTGAATCGATGTCGGTGTCCTGTCCAGTAGTAAAATTGAAGCTCTGGGTCTATCTTCTTGGTAAACTCATTTAGAATTTTGGGTTGCTGTTCTAAAAATTCCTTGTGGTCAAACACATCTCCAAGTTGATCATGGAGATGTGCAATGAAGCCTTCAACGTCATCTGTGCTGCTTGCACGTGGGTGCTCGGGGCAAACCCTCTCTTGATACTCTGCTCGACGGAGTTCAAGGCTTTCACAGTTCGCAATCAAAGCAACCACAATTTCTCTAGTGAAACCTTTAATACCCTTTATAGGGCGCATGACATCAATAGTTGAAAAGTCCCTTTCGTACTCATGCCAGGGCATCCAATCAGTCAACAGAAAATTGATCATGTCATTGTTATACTTTGACCGTGTTTCCTCTGATAGTCCCCCGTCCATCTGCCGCCTTATGCCAGTTTCAAACAGTTTCAACAAAGTGTGCCTCTGAAGTATGGCCATTCCTTTGCATGAACTCCAGTACACCCTTTGAAAACACCTGTTCACAATGTGGTACTGACTGTTTCTGTTTTCCAGTTAAAGCCTCATAAGTTAAACCTGTATTTAAAAAATGCCGTTGCTGAGGCTTCCAAAACTTTTTGATATTCCTTTTTAAATACTGCTCAATTACATATTTTGTATGTAAGCAAATTCCTTTTGTATTTTGGAGAAATTTTCAGTGAAAAAAAAAATGTACATGTGGTAGGTCAAAGCAATTTTGTTGTCATGGTCATGACAAGAACATTAATAATATTAACCCTTTCACTTCCACAGTCAATAATTATGGAGACATGTAAAGCACTAGTTCTAACTTTTTGAGTCTGTGGACAAAATCGTATGGTGTGACCATTCAAATGAAACCTCTTCAGCAGTACATTTTTACGGAAACATTAGTTTTTCAATATTTTACAAAATGAAATCTGGTATTTTTCTTGAATTTTTTTTTTTCTTTGGCACCTTTGGGAGTTAAAGGGATAGTAATTATTAGAATGAATTACATCAGTTCATATAAGGATAATGTGAAAAGACAAAAAAAAAAAGGCTATTAACCCTTTCACGAACTATCAAAAAAAAATAATCAAAGCAAGAAATGTCAGAATGCCATTTTCTATGTCATCAATATACCTGTAGTACACAGGTATGAATACAAGAATTCATTTAAACCCAGAGGGGGTCAAATGAATCATTATTATCAAAACATCATGATTAAAGGTACATGTTCACCCAATCTGCTGTGTGTGTTTGTGTTTTTGTTTTAAAACAGGTTCAATTGTTCAATGTAGCATTATGATTGCCTGGAACGTTAATTTTAGATTTTCCATCAGTGCAAAAAATAAGCTTGGGCGCACATTGCATTTTGGATGAACAAGGGCCTTTAATAGACTACGCACACAACACAAATAATTGTTATTAACCTGAATGAGCATCATGCAGGGCATCTCTGAAGTAGCGGGTGTCAACCCCTGGGATTTCACCTGCACGAAGACATTCAGTGATACGTTTAAGAACATGGTTGTGGTCTTCTCTCTCATGTATGTATTCCCCAGTGACATCACACAATTCAGGCTGGTAAAGGTGTTTGCTGAAGTCCACATTTAATTCTTCTTTCATTCGTTTTATTTTGTAGCGGAACAAGTATGTTGCCATCAAAGACTTAAGACAACCTTTGGTATCCTCTTCAGCCACTGTTTAAAGGAAAAGAAACAATTGAAAATAAATGATAAATAGAACTGAAAGGTACATTGACAGTACATGGCACCTTAGGCCATGGGTAGCCTATAAACTGGCCCTACTGATCCTCTATAACAGCCCGTGCACAGGCAGAGATTTAATGTAATAATAATTTCATTTTTAAATTTTGTTATTTAATATGCAATTTTAAATTAGTAGTTGGACTTCATGCCGTACCATTTGAGGGTAATAGTGCTCATAAAACAAGAAAGATATTACAAACTACAGCATATACTTTTTGCATCCCAAGGATAAGGGTCATAATTGGCAGGAAACAGCTTCCGTTTTAAAATGTGGATGGCGCTTTCAAATGGTACTTGATTGCCATCAGCATTCATGAAGTCATAAAGCCATACAATGTCCTCAACCGAATGGCTGGGTGTTGAGCCTGACCTCTTACAGAAAATGTCCCATTGGCACCTGTTAGGAAGAAAAGTTAAGGTTTTAAAATACATGCGAATTGCCTCTTGAAACAAAGGAGATTCAAATCAATCTAGGTTGAAATCATTTTAACCTGAATTTCATTTCCACCTACAACACACACACACATACACACACACATATGATAGTGAAGAATTTCCAGTGGTCAGATTTTGGCATAGATAAAACATCAGTTAAAGAAAAGTTACCTGGGACTGCAACTGGTGTGAAATACCTCCGTATGGCATTAACATTGGTGCTTCTAGCCTCTGACTTTGAATCCATCATCACTTGAATTATGGAAATAGCTCTTTTTGATCCCATAGTGCGGATGGAGTTAAATTCTCCATCTGTGACAGTGCCTAAAACAAACAAAAAATCAGATAAATAAATTGTTGTTTGGCTTATTTCAAATTACAATTTTGGGAGGTGGGGGGGGTGGGCGGGTGAAGATGCAAATCACCATTCAGTTGCTGAGTAAAAAAAAATGACAATTATTTAAAAATTCAACAGGCTCTATGCACTCTAAAAGTACCAATATACTCAGCGCTATGCCAGTCTGGTCTGAGAAAGGTGGCTTTTTAAGCAGCAGAGCAGCCCCTTTCTGTTGTATAAACTTAAGGTAGTTAACAGAGACAATTAAAGAAAATCTTAACTCACCAACCACAAGCATTCCCAAATTTACCATGGCACTCCGTAGCTCCATACACAGTTCACGCAGTTTATTGTCAGTCACACTGTGGTAAGGTATAAATCGTACAGGAACAGCATAGGGCTTCATGTCGCGTTTTTTCATCGGCTATCATGAACACCATGAGATGAGAGGCAGCTTCTCTATGCTTGGAAAAAAAGATCCTTAGCATAGGAAAGAAGCCTTTGGCGTAAAGAAGTGAGATCACCAGCAATATTACCATCTCTCTGGTTTGTTGAAATTCTTAAGTGCAGGCTGGAAATTGAAGACTTTAGGTCTTTGTTAATGTTAATGAGAGTCTGGAAGCATTCACACTCCCAAGCCAATGCAAACATGCCATCTTCAGAAGCATTTGACTGACGTTGTTTAGCTGCATACTTGTCTTTTGCAGCTTTCTCTCCACCAACCAGAAACCTTAAATCGTTATCCAAACCAGAAATCACAAGCGCCATATCTTCTTTCATTCTTACTCTTCGATCCTTAAGTCCTAATCCACCATAGAAGGTTTTTCTGTCCATGTATTCCTGATATAAAGTTTGAAGCTTTCCATCTCCCAGGTCACAATCTCCTGCCCACTCATGACGCATTGACTCACGCAGTCCCTTTCGCAGGTCACATGCATCTGCTTTAATCCACCAACGTCCGTTTTTGTTTCTTTCTTTAATCTTCTTAAGAACAGCGACCTAGCAAGAAAAAAAAAAGAATAACAAGTGGAAAGAAATCCTCATCTACTATAAAGTGCTCAATAGCAGAGCTAGAGCTAAGAATAATTATACTCCAAGAGCTAGGTTATTCGAACATTTACATTTTTTGTTGCCTGAAGATTGCTTCGCAAGAAGCATGAAACTCAGAGTTGCAGTAAATGTTCGAATAACCTAGCTCTTGGAGTATAATTATATATATATATATATGTTTTTCAAATATATTTCATATCTATTTAATCATATGTGCACTCACCTGAACATTTGTGTCTCTTGAAAACTCAGCAGCCTGTATCTGACGTTGAAGAGTCCTTACAGAATGACCTGCAACATTGACTTTAGCTTTCATCGGATCCACTTCTGTCCTTTTCTTTTTTATGTGCCTGTGGGCGAATACCATGAAATGTTTCCAGTTCTATTGGTCTATCGCCGTTTGCAATTTGTTCTTTTTCTTCAGAACCAAGTCGTGCCCAAAGGTAGCTCACTTCTTCATTGACCTGGTCGTTCACCTCAAGCTCGTCTTCTGCCTCAACAAGGGTTTCAACCTCAAGCCCATATCCTGCCTCAACAATTGTTTCAACCCCAAGCCCATCTCCTACCTCAACAATGGTTCCAACCTCAAGAGGGTCTCCTGCCTCGACAACAGTTTCAACCTCAATCCCATCTCCTGTCTGAACAATGGCTCCAACCTCAAGAGGGTCATCTGTGTCAACAAGGGTTTCTACATCAAGGCAGTCATCTGCCCCAACTTTCTCTCTAGTGGTATCTTGGTCTTCAACCTCATCTTGTACCCCATTCTGGGTACTCACTTGAAATGTTTCATTCCATGCTTGTTGAAGGATACTTGAGGAACCTTGCTCACTGCTGTTTGTGTTGCTGGTGCTATTACAAGCTGCAGCTGAGGAATCATCAACAACAGTCTCATCATAGGCAAACCCTGGTCCCCTCTGTAAGCAAATCCATTTATGACCAAAGTTGGAGAACATAGTTGTCTCCCACTCCACAAAATGGGGTCTGATGAAATGTTGTTCACAGTGTCCATAGCAAAATAGCGAATATTGTAGCTTAATAATCCAAACGGCATCTTGTCAATAGGGAGCCGTGGACCTGAACCATCTTTCCGTGACATTCCAAGTCCCCTGGCCAAGTAATAAAGAACATTTTCTTTGCCATTGCTATGAAGTACATTAATGCCCTTGCAGCATAGTTTAATAAAGTCAGAAGGAATAAATGCTCGAAAATCATGATCAAGTTCTAAAAACATGAACTGCCAAAATAAGTTCTGGATCAAGTCCCCTCTCATACGCGAAGTCATCAATGTCAACAGTTTAATAACCTTGGCAATGGTATCTCCATGATTGTATGTCTCATGGTTTGTTGAATTGGCATGTGGAGAGTGCGCCAATATTGGAGATAATGGGGTGTTCTTCTCAAGCATCGCCTGTGGAGTCGAATTTACATTCCCAGGAGATGTTAGTGTTGATGAATTTTCATAATGAATGTCTTGCAATCCACCACTAAAATAGTTGACCTGGAGGTCATCTTCTGCTTCCTCCAGTGTTGCATACCTTTTACGCTTGGGGAAGGAGTTGACCTGATAACGGCATGCACTCCCTGAAAAAGAAAAGAAAATATAAATCGGTTTGTTTCACCTCACTTACTGTAAGCCACTGTAAGTTCCTTTTGAACTAAAACCTTCAGCAACTGCTACCTTCCCTCCACCCTATTTTAAGACAAACCACTATCAGGCCTGCTCCACTATGTTATAATCTCTTCATTACAGAGTTATTACATTGTATAAAATAACTAGTTGAGTTGTGTAGGAGATCGCACACTATCAATGTATTCAAAAGCTGATGTTTTGAATGACTAAGAGCAAACAACCCAGACATCATCAATATCATCATCATTATCACCACCGCCACTAGGGGACAAACCTCTTGCATATAATTATTATCCTGCCGACCAAAAATTATGCCCTACTACGGCCTGGAGTGAAATATGTTTACCTGATCGTCGTGGCATTCCAGTTGTACAGGCCAGAGCATCTGCACATTTTTCCCAGAAATTGATGTCTTTGAAAGAAGGCCATTTAAACAATTGATCTTGTTCCACTGGGGTAAATAGAGCAATATACTCAACCAATGCTCGCCTTTCCTCCACAGACCAAACTGGGGACTGAGGTGGATGAGGGACCTTGAAGATATTAAATAAATGGTAACATAAGTAAACCTACATATAAACACACAAACAAAAAGACATCCTTGATAAACCCTGTGGTGGAGGTGGCTGGTGTAACATCTCTAAAGCCACACTTTATTTTATGATTTTTTTTTTAAAATTTTGTCAAATGTTTCATTTCATCACAGTGCGAGTGTGAAAACATAAAATTACTGCTAATGTTATCTGAGTAAAACTACAAGAAATAATGGATTCTAATCCACAATCTATGGATACTGGCCAATCTCTTGTTGGAGGCTACATTTGTACATGTATAATTTATTCACACGTGAAAAACATTCTTCAATAATGACAAATAAGTATCTTATAAAAGACCATTTAACTGACTCAAATACAAAATCAGAAGGAATTCGTGTAATTCGACTCTTTTTACCTTTTCTGGCTTGAAATTAAACAAATTCTTTCTCGATTTGATGTTATTTTGACCTCCAGTTCTGTTGACTTTACCAGCCGGTTTCCCGGGAGTGGAGCCACTTGGCTGGGTCGATCTCTTCATACCAGTGTGTCCTCCACGGCCTCTAGCGGGAAAACCCGACGGGGTAGACCCGGGTAGACCCCGAAATTGTCAAAGAAGACTACTTAAACTCACTAACGGACCGAAAATATTGACAACAATCAATAACAGTAAGGAGCTACAAGTCCAAGAAAAGCAGTGAAATTTACAACCAAAACAACATGGCGTCTCACACGAGACCGTCACCTTTGAAATGGTCGCAAAGCCGAATAAACGTTTCTTCTTAAAAAATAACTGCACCAGCACTAAGATAAATTAATTCGCTAACTTTATAGCGAATTTTGATTAAGAAAAAATGATTACAATCTTCAAAAACGACGAAAATCTCAACTCGTGTACCTCTCAAAACTGCTCTTCTCGAGCACGAAATCTACTCCGAAAATAACGCATTCTGATTGGTTAAATCTCGTGACGCACACCGCCTGACCTGATCGCTTGTTTCCATCTGCCAAACTGACGTGACGTCATCTGGTCTCCGGTGAACATCTTCGGTTTACGCGTCGGCATCCTCGGAGACCCAGGGGCAGTCAGTCGGGTCGAGAGAATAGGCGCGACGAAAGTTTTCAAGTACGGGCGGCTTCTTATCGTAAAAACAAATATGGCGGCCACTGTCTGGTCTAGACTGATATATGCTTGTCAGTATACCACTCAAACTAGCGAATGAAGTGAGATTATGTTTGCCAGGATTTACCTAACCGATCTACCTTGTGTTGTTTGGTTAAAAGGCAAATCTTAAGAGAAGGTAGGCCCGAGAAGGTATGATGCGAAAGCTACTATTGACATTTATAGTTTACGTTCAGAAAGTGGCAAGGAAAGACTTAAGCTTAAATTACTTTCTATCGAGCTCACTTCTAAAAGCGTTTCATATGGAGAGTATTCTATATAGAAAAAGATATTTCTGGTTTATCAGCTTAATTCTCAAGCGACGTCATTTTGGTGGATGGACAAGGTTCCATCTATCAAACTGACGTGACAAATGTTGAAATTAACAAACCTCACTGTCATTGTGTCGTTACAGAGTTTTCATTGAAATAGTCTATGGCATTACACGCCCAATTACTGCAGATTCTGTTAATTTTTCATTTATTTGGAGCTACATGTAATAAGAAACTCACACTTTAAGTACTGACTGCATTTATTTCGCTATTAAGTTTAGTCAGGGGCACCCAACGACAATTTTTGGAAAATATCTGTTCAGAAGACGATTTGAGATCTAGAATTTTCGGAACATTTGTTGTAAAACTCCTTGCTTCCCTGCCTCTCCTAGGATTTTCTAACATCTAAAAAATGGTATAATTGCCAATTTTTAACTGATTTTTACCCTAAAAAGGTCATCTAGAATTTTCGGGAGCCTTTTTTCTGGCTGAAATTTTCGAAAAGGTAAGTTATAAGCGTTGACAGTCTAAACACGACTCATAAGCTCGTGATAATGTGAAACGTGACCTTGAGAGTCTGCTTGAACAGTGGTTCTCTTTCTTTTTGTCTCTCTCGCGAAGGTTACTAGCACTACACAGTGCATGACTTGTAGCATTCTAAACTTTGACTGAGTAAATCTTGTTTTTGCCGCACTAAGTCTTATATTAAGAGGTCATGAAATAAGTTTGTTACATGCATACTGAGTAATCATTTCCTGTGGTTTATGCTTCTGTAGGTGTCCCTGATAGGATTTGATTTCACATGCAGTTGTAAAGTGTTTTATATCCTTTGACCTCTGTTTATTACGGCTGAATAAAGATTTTAGTTTTTTGGATTTCTCTGAAATGACTGTGTCTGATTAACTACATGCATGCATGCAAGTTTCTTTGTCCGTGAATGTGATTATTTCCTGCCATATCAGTATGACTCTGGGCCCAGCTCTATAGTGTGGTTTGCAGGCTTTTGAATTTCCACTGATAGTGCGATCTTCAGACTGTAGCTTAAACTAAGCTACACCAAGTTTGGAGAAATATATCGTGCGTCAGTCAAGATAATTCTCTTAGCGCTCACACAGTTCATTTAGTTTTTCTTAACATAAGTGAGTCTTTGAACTGGAGCGCGATGTCTTGTTGTTCCTTCATAGGTATTTACTTAAGTTTTTGCTTAACAGTCGTCTATGCGACTGTTATGAATTCTTAAGCAAGACTGCAGTTTCGGAACTATAGCGTTCCTCGTCAGTTGCTACTATGGTAAAGTCTTAGGTACAGAAGATAAAGCACTATGATAGATATACTGATACCTCGTATGGCATCAACCTAACCTTGACTTTAAGGTTTCGCCCTCTAGGAAGTATCCAGATTTGTAACTGAATACCTAAAGTCATATTTAATTTGGCCTGGTTTTCCAGTCACTAGGGAGGATCAAGGTTAACTTACAATTTTATAGAAATTGTTACTTATTCCTTCAAAATCTTGTTTGCCTACATGTACTTGAATACTTGAATGGCAAGCTGCAAAAATGATTTTCTTTGCACCCTGCTTGAATGTACAAGTCTTTATTTACATTTAGTTTCACACTTTGAGAATATTGGCCCAATGTTGATTCATCCGTACCTGTGAATGTGTTCTCAGTTGCATGGATCTCTTTATGACAAAAGTCAGTCATGAAAAATTGGGGCTTCCAGCTGGCATTCCAATCATGGAAGATTCCTAGTGCTTCCTGTATGGAGGCTGTAGTTTCCCGTTGAATTATGAAAGACCCCACAACTATGTAATTTACATTTGTCTTTACCACTAGGAAAAATAGAGGGAGCTCTTATCTCATTGTCTTGTAGGTTGCATCAAGCAGGGTGATCTCATTTCCGTAACGGATCATGAGTTGCTTTTGCCAGGCTGTTTGATGAGCAAACAAAAGATCATCTCACACACAATTTTTATCTGTTTCCTCATTGTTCATGCTTTCAGAAGCTGTTGATGAGGCTGATAGGGCATTCTCCTGACACCAATTTTCAATTTTCTTTTCAAAGTTTTCCGGATCAGATTTGGACAGGATTTTTTTTACTGATGCCTGATACATGTGGTTCCTGATGTCCACATCTGTTGGATAATAGCGCCTGTTTGTTGATGCTGGTGGAGATTGCCCTGGAAATAGTTCAGTTTTTACGAATTGCCTAAGATGTCTTTTCATTTTGTCCACAGTTTTCACACCTTCGCCAACAAGCTCTCCAATCTTGTCTACAAGCCGTTTGTCGATGGGCTGCAGAATGCCACCAATCTGGTTGTTTGATACATGAGGAGAAAAATGAAAATGGAATTACATTTTTGACAGAAATATTTTGACAGCCATGCTGATAGTTGTAGGCACTGCTGGTACAATGTACACTTACATGTAATGAATGAAATGTCACTTCTGTCAACAACAACATTCAAAAAACAAATTATTTGGATAGAATAGCAACAACAAGTAACAAGTCCTAGACACTACTTGGACCTTTTTTCATGATCATTACTTCATTTACAGACCTAGGCTATGATTGTTAACACTACATAGCATGTAGCCACCCATACACCTGTTGTACTTTGTGACCTAGCCTTTGAGTGGAAGGACTGACTTGACTTTCTTTCACATGCCTTCTTGCCTTTTCATAGGAAAGTAATACCTGTCCGAAACTATAATTACCATAATGATTTATACATGAAAAACTAGAAGGTTTATATGAAAATGACTCAACTCTTGTCCCACCCATTCAAAGTGTTTTTCCCTAAGCCTTCAACTATTACTCAAACAAAAAGAGCCAAAAACAGAAGTTAATATTATTGTTCTCAAGTTAAGGTAGTGTCCCAGTTCTTTCCATTGACATCTACAGACCTCTCCAGTGATGTGATCTTTGTGTTCATCTTCCTTTGGTAATTGGATATAAATTCTGCGTTCCACTTGGGGTTTCTGTCCGCTGGTTATATTAGTCTTCAGCTTTTTGGACATGTCCCTTCTTAGTCTTTCTGTGTCATCCCTGATCTAATAGAGTTAAAAGACAGTAATAAGATATGAAATGAAGGGATGTATTTTACTGAGCAGAAGTATAATGTCAATTGCTATTATCACTATTGTGATGGTGGTTTTGTACCTTGTAATTGCAATACTTTATGACTTCTGATAAACGAATACTTGCAGGGCAGCCAAACTTCATTGTGTCTTGAGGTAGAAACCTCCTCCTTTTGAATGAGTGATCATCAACCTGTAGCTAGAAGATTAATATTATAGATTCCTTACAGTTTAGTGCTAGAAGCACCAAAAAGGCTGTGGCTGTGAAATAAAAATGCAGATATTTTTTAGTCATAACCAACATACCTTCTCTTCAGAATGTCTCGCTTTAAATGACTTTTTCCTGTCTGGTCCATGTTGGCAGTCAAATACCTTGGTGCCAATTATACTGAATGGTACTCCATCAAATGGAATTTTGTCATCTTTGAAATAGACTTTTCTTTGCTTGGCAAAAGGATCTGTGTCATAGAAACAAGGAAAGTCTGTATTATGTTTATTAGGGCTGTACTCTAGCAGTCCTCAGAGGCCCCTGGTGACTTACTGTTGCTTTCGGCAAGAAGGCAATCTTAGTTTTTGCCCAAAATTACTATGCTGGGCAGCCAGAATGTCAAAGGGTTAGTGTTTTGGGCTCCCCGAATTTTTTTTCTTAGAGCATAGCCTTCTTGTTTATTATAATTTTGATTGTAATCTGGTATGCAACCTACACCACAGTCAAGCCAATGTATTACATGCACCCTTTGCAGATAGTACTCAGTCAACCATAGATTTAAAGATACCGTAAAATTTCCGAAAATAAGCCCCTCCGTGTATAAGCCCCTCCAAATATAAGCCCCCCAAACGGGTAACGCAAAAAACCCTCTGTAAAATCGCCCCTCCAAAATATAAGCCCCCGGGGGGCTTTTACTTGGAAAATTGCCCTCAAATACAAAATAAAACAAAGCAAAAACGGTAAATTTACCTCCAACTATAGAGCCATGTCCAGCCCTGGCCATGAAATCCAGAGTTTCTTCACTTCTTACTTAGTTCCACACTTCTCAGAGGTGTGAAGTGTGGAATAGTCCGACAAAGTAAGGATATTGTCACACTTTCCCCCAGTCATGAACCCTTTGTCATTCTTTACTTAGTTCTACACTTCTCAGAGGTGTGGAAGTGTGGAAAAGTCTGACAAAGTAAGGATATTGTCGCACTTTTCCCCCTGTTAAGAACCCCTTGTCATTCTTTACTTAGTTCCACACTTCTCAGAGGTGTGGAAGCGTGGAAAAGTCTGACAAAGTAAGGATATTGTCTCACTTTCCCCCACTCATGAACCCTTTGTCATTCTTTACTTAGTTCCACACTTCTCAGAGGTGTGGAAGTGTGGAAAAGTCCGACAAAGTAAGGATATTGTCTCACTTTCCCCCAGTCATGAACCCTTTGTCATTCTTTACTTAGTTCCACACTTCTCAGAGGTGTGGAAGTGTGGAAAAGTCCGACAAAGTAAGGATATAGTCACACTTTTCCCCAGTCATGAACCCTTTGTCATTCTTTACTTAGTTCTACACTTCCCAGAGGTGTGGAAGTGTGGAAAAGTCTGACAAAGTAAGGATATTGTCTCACTTTCCCCCAGTCGTGAACCCTTTGTCATTCTTTACTTAGTTCTACACTTCCCAGAGGTGTGGAAGTGTGGAAAAGTCTGACAAAGTAAGGATATTGTCTCACTTTCCCCCAGTCGTGAACCCTTTGTCATTCTTTACTTAGTTCTACACTTCCCAGAGGTGTGGAAGTGTGGAAAAGTCTGACAAAGTAAGGATATTGTCTCACTTTCCCCCAGTCATGAACCCTTTGTCATTCTTTACTTAGTTCTACACTTCTCAGAGGTGTGGAAGTGTGGAAAAGTCCGACAAAGTAAGGATATTGTCACACTTTTCCCCAGTCATGAACCCTTTGTCATTCTTTACTTAGTTCCACACTTCCCAGAGGTGTGGAAGTGTGGAAAAGTCCGACAAAGTAAGGATATTGTCACACTTTTCCCCAGTCATCAACCCTTTGTCATTCTTTACTTAGTTCTACACTTCTCAGAGGTGTGGAAGTGTGGAAAAGTCTGACAAAGTAAGGATATTGTCGCACTTTTCCCCAGTCATGAACCCCTTGTCATTCTTTACTTAGTTCTACACTTCCCAGAGGTGTGGAAGTGTGGAATAGTGTGACAAACTAAGGATACTGCCGCGCTTTTCCCCCAGTCATGAACCCCTTGTCATTCTTCACCTTGTTCCACACTTCTCAGAGGTCTGGAACTGTGGAATAGTCTGACAAAGTAAGGATATTGTCGCACTTTTCCCCAGTCATGAACCCCTTGTCATTCTTTACTTAGTTCTACACTTCCCAGAGGTGTGGAAGTGTGGAATAGTGTGACAAACTAAGGATACTGCCGCGCTTTTCCCCCAGTCATGAACCCCTTGTCATTCTTCACCTTGTTCCACACTTCTCAGAGGTCTGGAACTGTGGAATAGTCTGACAAAGTAAGGATATTGTCGCACTTTTCCCCCTATTAAGAACCCCTTGTCATTCTTTACTTAGTTCCACACTTCTCGGAGGTGTGGAAGGGTAGAATAGTGTGACAAGTTGAGTTTAATGTTGCACTTTCCCTGAGTCACGAGAAGCTCAGTGCGCTTTATGAGCACTTGGTTTTATTTCTGTATGGTTTTTTACATTTTTCCTTTAGAACTATTTTTATTTTGAATAGCAGATATAACCATTGTTTCAATGCCAGCTGTTGAAAGAAACTTCAAGTTAAGAAATCCGATCTCCAACCAAGCTTTCATCCTTAGGGGCCGACCATTTAACTCTTGATGGGGGGGGTGGGTGATTTTTGGTCGGCAAGAATTTTTTTTTCTAGCAATCTGGTGGGCAGGATATTTTTTTCCCTTCTAAATGCTCTGCAGGATATTTTTTTTCCCTCCTCATTTCTCTGCAGGATTTTTTTTTCCTCAAAAAAGGGTCATGTGTTTACATATACAAAATGTATTTACACTTACATTCTGGTCATTGCAGTAATAGTTCTAATATGGAGCTGCAAAGCCTTAAAATGTTGTAAGCTATACAAAATCATTATTGTATAGCTATCTTTTCAGAAAGTCATTCTTTACACTCATTTTATTACGTCAAAATAAAGTGATGCACCACAGGCAGATGTGAAAGTGTTTAGTTTCTTAATTAAAAAAAAAATAGCCAAAAATAGCAAAAAGCAGTTTAGAAATGCTCATAGCATGGTAATTGCTGCTAGAATCATTAGTTGCAATTTAAAAGTAGACTGAAATATCCAAAACCAATGTGAAAGCAAAATTGAAGTTAGTTGATCATGGTCTAATTGAAAAATAGCTCTAATAATTTTTGCTCAGTCTTTTTTCAGTCCACTTCTATACAGTTGCAGCATTCAGCCATGTTCATTGCTGCTGTTAATTTTTATCTTGCAGCGCAATTTTTATTCATGAAATATACAGCTACTTTTTATGCACCTATCAATGTCTTGCCCAAACAGAGGGAGTGCGGAAATAGGTGGGGCATTTGACCTGTGAACTTTGTCCAAGGGAGGGGATGTTTTGAATAAGAATTAAGGTTTGAAATGGCAGAGGGTGTGGAATTTGAAATTTATTGACCAAAAATATTTGAAATCAATTGTCAATAGCCCCTGGGTATACCTGTACCCCCCAATTGGGGCTAGACATCGATAGGTGCATTACTAAAACTTAAAAAAATATATTATATTTATTTAAATAGAAAATAATTACATAAAAATGTTTCTGTTAAAAATGAAAAAAAAAAACTTCCTTTGTCTATAAAAACTTGATTCTTTAATAAAAAAAATTACCTCCATTTATAATACTGCTTGTGATAAGCTAATAATGCATTGCACATATGACGCAATAATTTTGCAGCATCATCAAATCCAGAGTTCAAAGTGAGCAAGGGAAAAGAATGGTTGCAGTTTTGCTGCGATTTTTTAAAGACCCCCGGAATGATGAAATAGCTTTGCAACATTTTTTTTTCTTTCTTACAGCAGCGCAAGAATTTTTTTTCTATTACATTTGTGCTGCATGCAATTTTTTTCTTCCGACAAGCGCTTGCAGGAAATTTTTTTCAAAATCACCCACCCCCTCAAGAGTTAAATGGTCGGCCCCTTATCAGTACGGGTTCAAATTTGATAATTGTTAGATCACGCCATATATCCACTGTTTCGCAGTTTTTCCTCTTCTCTAAGGTTATGTAAATGCTGGACATAAATTTTGAAAAAGAAGCAACACCACGCTCGGAGGCGAGTGGCTCGAGGCCAAGAAACATCGAAAAAGAATTCACCTAAGGGTGACTCTCTAAAGACGAAGAGGAGGGTGGACCATGCAAATATTTTAGTATTGTCACGTGCCGCAGAGATAACATAAATATTGCCAACCCTATAACACGCAAGTAAACAGTGATCCCCCTTTTCCGCAGAGAGATCTGCAGGTAGCTACTCTAGGCCGATAAGTCACAATTACTACTTTATACAGAATGCTGTATATTTTTACACCAATTTAGGTCATGAACGTGATGAAGGAATAGAACAATCAGAATTGATTTGAGCATTTATAAACTTTATCAAGTTGATCTTAAAGCGAGGAAGATAGAACGCACATACTCTGCATTCTTTACTGCCTATTTTTAGCGTTGTCACGATCTTAAGAGACCTGACTGTTGTACCCAATTAAAAGCTCCCGGGGTTAAGGTTCTTTGTGTATTGTATTTGCGTTATAATGTGGCATTCACATTTAAATGATATGGAAATTCCTAAACCAAAACGTTTTATACCCAAAAGGTTTGAATTGGGTACGACATTGAGTCAGCCGAATAGATCTATAGGAAGGAGAAAAACCCAGAATAAGACGTCTCATATATGGCACATTAACATGAAAAATTTCAAACATAAAAATCCATAGATGAGATGACGTTGTTGAGGTTTCCCTTGAAAAATAAATAAATAAATAAATAAATAAACGAAGACAAAGGACTGACGGGAACTTCGTGACATAGAAAACGTAGGCTTGTTTTCTGGTCGGGTATTCAAACAGATGGCAGTGAAACAAGGCTAATATCTTCTAGTCATAGAATTGTTGTCTAAACTTAAAATAGCATTTAAAAAGATGTAAAACGAGTTGCAGGAATAAAACCAACAAATACTCCCACTGCGCTTTATTCTCATTTCATACATAGGAGTGTAACTAAGGAAAGAATGTCAAGGGATTCGTGACTGGGGGGAAAGTGCGACAATATCCTGACTCTGTCAGACTATTTCATACTTCCACACCTCTGAGAAGTGTAGAACAAAGTAAATAATGACAGTGGTTTCGTATGACCAGGGGAAAGTGTGACATTATCCTGACTTTGTCACAGACTTTTCCACACTTCCACACCTCTGAGAAGTGTAGAACTAAGTAAAGAATGACAAGGGGTTCTTAACCGGGGGAAGAGTGCGACAATATCCTTACTTTGTCAGACTTTTCCACACTTCCACACCTCTGAGAAGTGTAGAACTAAGTAAAGAATGACAGTGGTTTCGTATGACCAGGGGAAAAGTGTTACATTATCCTGACATTGTCAAACTTTTCCACACTTCCACACCTCTGAGAAATGTAGAACTAAGTAAAGAATGACAAGGGGTTCTTAACAGCGGGAAAAGTGCGACAATATCCTTACTTTGTCAGACTTTTCCACACTTCCACACCTCTGAGAAGTGTAGAACTAAGTAAAGAATGACAGTGGTTTCGTATGACCAGGGGAAAAGTGTTACATTATCCTGACATTGTCAAACTTTTCCACACTTCCACACCTCTGAGAAATGTAGAACTAAGTAAAGAATGACAAGGGGTTCTTAACAGCGGGAAAAGTGCGACAATATCCTTACTTTGTCAGACTTTTCCACACTTCCACACCTCTGAGAAGTGTGGAACTAAGTAAAGAATGACAAAGGGTTCATGACTGGGGGAAAAGTGCGACAATACCCTTACTTTGTCAGACTTTTCCACACTTCCACACCTCTGAGAAGTCTGGAACTAAGTAAAGAATGACAAGGGGTTAGTGCCTGTGGGAAAAGTGCGACAATATCCTTACTTTGTCAGACTTTTCCACACTTCCACACCTCTGAGAAGTGTGGAACTAAGGATGAAAAAGGAAAGTAGGGATCTTGTGGCCAGCACTGGACATTTGTGTATAAGGCTAGCCCAATCGATTTTGAAATGCAAATTTCCCTCCCGCATATAAGCCCCTCCAAAAATAAGCCCCTCAAAAAGGGCTTTTGAAAAATATAAGCCCCGGGCCTTATTTTCGGAATTTTACGGTATTTCATGTCTTTGATTCATAAATTGTTCATGCCATGAATACTACTGTGTTTAGAATATGTACATTCTACTCCAGCATATTTCTCTCCCCCCAACAAAAGAAAAATTTCTAAGATCACAGCATTGTTTATTATAATCTTTTGATTGTAATCTGGTGTGCAAGCTACACTACATTCTACTCCAGCATTCTTAACCCTATTATGTTACACTGCACTGCTAAAATCATAGCTGCTGATGACCAATCAGATTCAAGAATTTTTTATGACCAACTTATTGTTTATGCACTTATCAACTGAAATCCCCCCTCCCCCACCCCCAGGACAGGGTGGGGATTTGACTTCATGTCAACTACAATGGTGATTAACCCCCATGAGGGGGCACTTAAACTTTTAAAGCCCCCACCTACAGTCCTGTAGGAGAAAAATAAAACATGACAAATCTTGAGAAATCCCCAGCCCCCAACGGCAAAACATGCTGTCCCCCACCTTGGCCCGGGGGTGGGGGTGTTGGCTTTCAGTTGATAAGTGCATAATTATTTTGTTGCTTCATAATTATCTTACCTCCAGCACCAAACATTTTGTCTCATTTAAAACAAGAGAATTTTGTTGTTGTTTCCAGTTCATATTGTCTTATTACAGTCATGGCTTCCTCAACTGATCCAACATAGCCAACAAACTTGTTCGTTGATCCTCTTAACTTGGCTTGCCAAGTACATACAGTAGCACTGTCTTTCTCACTTTCTAAATATATGCCTTCAGCTGTGCCGCTACCTTCTTGGGCATTTGCCGGCAAAGCCATAACAAACGACTTTTGCTGAGTACTATAAACCGAGCAGTCAACTTCCAGATCTCATACACCCGGAAACTTTATTATTTTCCTTTCGAAAATGCCCGCCAAACAACAATGCTTAGCGGGAAAATCTTCGGAATTCCGAGACAGGTTTTTGGTACATTATCGTCAATTTTCGTGCGCGTTCGCCTGTTATTGAACGTCAGTTTCATGGATGGAAAGATACGCTATCCGTCACGCCATCCATCAAACTGACGTTCTCCACTGTGGCAAGCTTTAAGGGTATAAAATAGCTTTACCCTTGTCCAATTTACCCTAAGTTTTCAAAGGTTTATTGAAAAAAATCAGGACCCTGCTTTATGTGCACAGAAAAACACAAATAATCTGCTGGACACACGTGGACCCACAAAAGATCATCCGCCATATTAGTTTTTACGATAGGAAGCCGGCGAGTAAACCGAAGATGTTCGCCGGAGATCAGATGACGTCACGTCAGTTTGGCGGATGGAAACAAGTGACGACCACTTTGATCTGACTAACCTGAGATCAGGCGTCTTTTTTTTTTTTTTTGCTTCTTTGGCTCGAGAGGGAAAAAAAATAACGCCTGATACATTTATTTAACAAGCAGTCAACCGCCCCCTAATTTACATAATCTAACGTTTGCTTGACCTGTCATGTTTTTAGCCAATAAGCGTTTACCAAACGGGAATCAAATTTTGGCGCGAATAATGTCTCTTTTGAAAGCAGTTTTAGGGAAAAAAAATTTTTAAGTACGTCCGTGTTCAGATGGCGCTTCGCAAAAAAAAAAAATAATGTGTTGTTTTTGTGATGAAATATACTGCTAGCTGGAGCTGTCGTACCTTTATGAATAGCTACAAATAATAAAGAATTTACTGGTTAAAGCTCGTTGACTTCGTTCTGTACCGAAAGCAGTGGAAAAAAATTAGGCTGAAGCACCATATTTCACGAACTGAAAGGTGTTGTGAAAGCGAAGATCGCTCAGAATAATTCGCAGCATGATTTCTGAAGGAGGAAATACAGTCAAACCAGGTCAAGATTCCATCCCGGATTCCATTCATGAATTGATTATTTGAAAAGTGAACCCGTTTGTCGCTTCTGTAACTTGTAGCCGGTATCAAATTGCATTCAAATGATAGGTGAAGTTTTGACTGCAACTGTTTTGGTATACGATGAGATGGTAAATATTTCAATGGATGAAACTTCTATTTAGGTATTCTTCAAATTCAAGAAAACTGAGCGGGCAGAAATTTCATAACGAACTCGCGTGTGTATTCACTGCTCATTACGCAAGCAAAAATGCAGACTGAAATCAACAACAACTAACGGATGGCGTCATTTTGGCCAATCGGAACAGCGCAAATCATCCGCATTGTTTCCTATCCAATCAGAAAAAAGTCCAGATTCTGGCATTTTTACATGTGATCCGACAAAGAAATGTATCATGCCCTCTTCCCGTGAGAGACATAAAGGGATAATAGGGAGAGGGCATGATCTCAGGCTATGATCTGACTGGAAAGTGTGACTGAAAAAGAGACCGGAAATGTTCATCCTGGCGCATGCGTAGACGTTTTGCCGCGGTCTTAACTGTAAGGTGTAACCGCGGCAAAACGCAATGCGCATGAGCACAAAATTTAATATATCCGGTCAGCTTTTTATTTCCGGTCTAGTATATAAACCAATAGCGAAAGAATAACTTTGCCGTCGCGCCAAGTTTAAAAGCAAAAAGGGCGAAACAGACAAAAAAGGGGGCCAAAAAAATCACTTCATTCGAAAGCTTATATATTTTTCTATTCTCAAACTTTTGCACCACATGGTTATCTGTTTGCACCAACGGTGAAAATGATGTTTGAAGTTTGCAGGTCGCGAGCGCTCGACAAGACGAAGTTGTTTTTACTGGCTTTCTTGCATGCTACTGGTTTGGCATAAGTTAATTTGGGAGAAGGCGACAACTAAGAAAAGAATAACAATACTTATGAAAGAAACCAAAATAAAGACGTCATCATTATCATAAAAAACACTAAAACCAGGAAATAAAATTTTAGTCCGTTCAATAATTTGTTTTATTATCAGAGAAAACAAGAACTCAAAACAAAAGATGGGCGGGATTTAATAACAACTTTGACTTTGATGACTGCAGTCACCGGGAAACTAAACATGCCTATAAATGACTTTCATTCAAGAAAATAACTATTTAATTCTTTTACATGGTTGTTCTTTTGTTGAAGACTTCAATAATTTCAGACTGTGCGGCTCGGCTGCATCTCATGCAAACACGAAACTTCTAGCTGCTAAATACATGGCATGAAAAGTTCGACTTCTAAAAGCCACTGAACCAGCTTTCGCTCTCTGATTCTGAGAATGGAAAAATAAATAAATAGAGTTGTCAACTTGCTGCCAACCGGCTCAACAGTATAATTAAGCTTATGTTTCATGGCAATCAACCCAGAAGAGTTTCGTTAGAAAACACGGTAAAACCCACTGGTAAACAAAACTACAAAGCGATTGTGTGTTGTCGTTTTCCAAATAAAGTTTAAATCGGCTTTAACACATGTAGACTGAGAAACTGAAGAACTGAAAATTAGAACTACAATACACAAGCTTGCAATGATAACGTTTTAATTTTATGTCTTAGTTTCAGAGAGGTTAAGTGAAAAATAACAGTCAAAAACTTTATTTTCGTGAATGAAAATCAGTTTACCTGACGCTCTAGCCAAAATTACACTCTGAGTTATTATCATCTTACCTTTTCTGAATCTAATCGACTAATTGTTTCAGTGATCTGTGCCTGGTTATCCATAAAAGCAATTTCAATAACTACAAAATAGTCAAAAACACGAGCAGCATAAAGCAGAACAACTGAACCACAAGCTGCACACAGAATGAAGCGCGCGGGAGACTTTGACTGGAAAGTGTGACTGAAAAAGAGACCGGAAATGCTCAACCTGGCGCATGCGTAGACGTTTTGCCGCGGTGTTAACTAACTCTATCAATCAAAGCCTTGTTGACCCCAGTCCACTGGCAAGTTTTAGGTAGGAAGCTTCAATGTGGCGTACGTGACATGAAAACACGCACAGAACGCCCGAGCCGGTGATCATTTTGTAAAAATGCGAAGCAGGAAAGATTCATCAGTGACAACTCTTAAGAGTTTGGAAGACAAAGCCGATAGTGGAGAGTGTTTTCTTGTTAATCAAGTTAAATAAGGTATAGTCCTCTGCACAACTATGAACACGTTCTGACACTTTGTAAAAAATAAGTAAGCCTGAACAGAAAATATGGTCATTTATTTTTTGCTGTTTTGCTAAGCTGAGAATGATAAAGAGTTTACTATCAAGTTAACGTGATCCTCCTTTCTTTTGTAGAAATTAAGGTGTCTCTCACAGGATTGTCCAAGTTTAAGGAGGGAGTTTCTAAAATACGGGAACTGCTGTCTTTGCGAAAAGGCACCAGCCTTCATTTGCAAGAAATTTAAATAGATTATCCGAGGAAACAAAAAGGCAATCATTTCTGGCAGTGAAAACAAACAATTGAGCTGGATTCCAAGGGAAACCATCAGGGAAGTGGAGAGAATGGATCAAATGGAAGACTTAAAGATAAGTCTTATAATTTTCAAGGAGAAAGAAATTTCATTTCATTTCAGTAAAATTGATTGTGTCATAAAAATTTCGTCCGCTGAGTTGTAATTCGTCAGCTTCCCGGCCCGGTTTTTTAAACTAGTTCTTTGAAGAACATTGACACAGACTGCAAAAACAATTTTTTTTTCAATTCTGGAGTTAGTGATAACAATTGATGACATGTCATGTGATACCTATTATGCTCACCTGCCTATTAAAACATAGGGTTATTGATTTGAAAAAAGTAAATAAATAGAGGATATTACACGGTGGCGAGAAGATATGAATTTTATGTTCGAGTGGCAAGAACAATATCTCACGAGTGAGCGAAGCGAACGAGTGAGATATTGTTCTTACCACGAGAACATAAAATTCATATCTTCGAGCTAACGTGTAATGTTCTTTTTATTATATGGAGAAACCAATTCAACAAAAGCAAAAGGCGGGAATCGTGACGTCATTGAACGATATGACACTCACAAAGGTGACATACGGAAAATACGCCACTCGGGTCCCGGATGAAGTGGCGTATGGAATCTATGAGTGGTTTAGTTCCCAGTAAAACACTCTCCTCCATATAATAAAATAAAATATCCTACCTGTGAGCACTTATACTACAGCTACATTTTTTTTATCAATTCATGATTGTTTTGTTTTCATTTTTTTTCTTCACTACTGGTAATTTAATATTCTGCCAAATAATTATATAGCTTAAATAAATAATATATGATGATGATGATGATGATTATTATTATGATACAGCCACCAAATGGTATAGTTTGGTGTCTAAATGCTATATAATTAATAAAGAACAGGACTCCATGTCACTAGCATATCCATACTTAAGCTTGTCCAATTAGGAAAATAATTCAATTAATAAATTTAAACAAGATTTGGCTTCATTCAACTTTGGAGCTCATCTGAAACTTTTTGTTTAATTTTTTCGTAATTGGACAACATGGAGCCTACTATATATATAAGAAATACAAAGATTGCAAGGCATCTTTATAAAACATATTATAAGTTTTAACCCTTATAACCTCAACATAAGGTGGATCATTTTCCCCTAACTCGCCTTAACTCGCACAAACTCGCAACTAATAGGCGAGCTCAATTTTTCCTTATCTCGCCTCAGTAACTCGCTTAAACTCGCAT